AACTGCAGCTTGCATTCTTCTGCATATCACAATACAAGGTTGCTTCAGAATTTTCCCAGTGTTTCACTGTCTTCTCTTTTAATTAGAAATTAATCAATAGGTTCAATAGTCTTGTCTCATGCACTCATATACATTCACAGGCATATATGATCCCTGTGACTGTTAGCCAGCCTATAAACACAATATATGCTTTCAAAGTTTTAATTTAGAGAACAGCACATTTTATATTGAGGCTTATAAGACCGGAATTCTGAGCTGTATTGGATGGCAGTGTGGGAAGATAGATATCTTGTATGCAGTAGATGAACTGGAAGGATTTTATACTTCATGCTTTTCAAGAATAGGAAGGATGTATGGAGTTCTGGAATGAACTATAAAATATGTTTGGTTCTTTGAATTCTATTAATATTACCTGATATTAATGAATTCTGTTAATATTATCTTATGTTTTTGTTTGCCCCTCCTCCCCCCCCCCCCCCCCCATAATTTGTATGTGAATATTCACCCCTCATTCCTCCCATCCTGAATGACCAGTTATTTCAGGATGGTTCTGTAGATCTGATTATCTGAGCCATATTGTTCCTCTGCTGTGAGCACAAGCACTCCTCTGCAGGGCAGCAGGAAGTAAACACTTGTGTGGCAGAACACGTGCTAGCAAACAGACAAAGAAAGAAGCTATGTAAATGATTTTGTTTATTAATTAAAAATGTACTATGAAGTAAACAGTATTTTAATTATCAAGAACTAGTGAGACTGAAATGATGCCAGAAGTTGTATGCTACTGTTAGTGAGCCCTTGGAAGTCAATAACATACCTATTCTTCCTTCAAGGTAATCTGAATTATTTTCCCCTGGTTAAACTGAACAGGTAAAATAGAACCAGGCTGGTGCTGGTGCCCTGAGTTTATTTTTTTATATTATTATCTCATATTATGCTGTAATAAATTTCCAGTAACAATTCAAAATAGCATTTGCAGAGGCCTCATAATAGATAAATGTTTATGTAAACCACCTGGTGATGGCAACAGATTACATCTGATGCTCAGTTTGTGTGCTAAGATGTATCCTGGGCAACTTTTTTCTTATTTTTCTTTGTGCTACTTAGCAGACTGTATCCTCCTGCTGTTTCATATGTTCATTGTGATCTCCTCTAGATAAAGAGTTGGGTTTTTTCCATTTTTTAAAGACTTCTGAAGTTAATAGTAGTCACTAATTGTGCTTAAACAGCTAATAATCCAATGAAAAATAAAGGGTTTTGATGATACACTTCTAATATTTCTTGCCAATATGTTTGTATTTATGCTAAGACATGCATATATACAGATATAGGTACGTTCACCTTTCATCATTGCTTTTTTTGTCAAACTGAAAAGGTAAAAACACAAGCCTTTTATAGACATGATTTCAGAAAGAATGCTTTGTTTGAAGTCTATGAACATTTATTGCACTCTCAATCTATTTCAACTGTTCAGTATTTTTGTTAACAGACAGAAAATAAGGTTTAACCTCTAGAAGGGCCAAAGCATTACTGCTTTCTCGAGGATAATAATTGTAGCTATGCCAGCTAGCACATAACGGTTAAATATATCCTTGCTTTTGACAGAAGCTAGTGGAGTTGGAACAGGGATGAGCATAGCTTATTAAATATAGCTCTTATGAAGACTGCTCTATAATTACTGTGACTTTTCTTTGTATCATTATGATCATAGGCTGATGAAAACAATGAGTCATGTGCTTTGAAAAGGCCAAGAACTATTCAGCCAAATAAAAAAGATTGTACCTAGAGTAACAGCCCTGTTAGTTTTCTTGGAGTAGTCTATGTAAATAATGCACTATAAAGGTTAAATAACTTTCACCAAAGCTCCTTCTTCCACTGATAAAAGTTAAAAACTTAGAGGAGAATGCTCTTAGGAGGATCAAAAATGCTTCATTCCATGAAATCAAATACATATCCATGAGCAAATCTTTTGAAAGTCTTTTTAATTGAGACTGGTTTTTTTGTATAAAAAGATATGCTGATATTTTTGAATGTCCTCAAGTCTTTTCTTAAAACTTCAAAATGAAATGACCTATATACTCAAAATACTATGATTACAAAAATGCCTGATTGTCCTTTTTTATCAGCTCTGTCACTTCTCAGATTCAAAATAGTTCTGGATTCAAATATTTTCAGTCTTTTCTAAGCCATGAGAGATTTTTGTGGTTTTTGTCCCCAAAAGAAGAAAAAATGTCAAGGGTATGTTCTTTTGGTCTAGATTATATCCATTTTCCCCGGGTCTGTGATGATACTACTGGGGAGGTAGACCCTGATGCAGTTGCTGTATGTCAGGAGTAGTGAACTTGAGCTTTTCAACAAAGACCTCGGTCAGTGCCAGAATCCACTGTCTTCAAGACTGCCCTTGCTTGTGAAGCTTTCCCCTATGTGTACTTACTGAAAACTAATTTTTAGAGGCCAAAAGTTTGACACTTAAAAAATTCAGCAGCTCAGGTCTTATTAGTAATGAAGATTAATAATTGCATTTTCTTATTTTAGATTTCATGAGGCAATTGAGGTTCATCAAAACTGAGGAGTATTTATTCCAGACTTTCATTACAAAGAAAATGTGAATCAGTAATTTCAAAGACAAAGTTAGGGGTTAAGAATAGTTGGTATTCACTGTTGTGCTCGCAGAGCTGGAAAGCAGATAGGGCCACCATGTCTGAGATCAGGGCTGGCTGCCTTTTCAAGCAACCACTTGACAACTCCTTCTGTGAACCAAGCCAGCTTTGTGTTAAAGGCTTTATGTTCATTGCTTGACTACATGTACTGGAAGATTTATCTGAAGGCTCACATTCCTCATGGTTGTTATTTACTTTCTCACTTCTAGCCTAATTTATTCTCGGTTAGTGTGTTTGCAGGTCACCAGTAACTATGCAGGTAAAATAGAATTTTTTTTCCTTCTCTGTTTATGCTTTTTGATGTTTAACAGACACCTCTCATGCTTCCCTTAGTTATGCTGGAAATGTATTTGGAAATGTTTGTGTCTGTGTTGAATTCATATATATTCTCACTATGTGTGTCTATTTATGTAAAAAATATTATCTTCTATTTAATATTATTTGTTTGTTATCACATACCCTTCTGCACAGCCTTAAAGCAACCTAATTGTTTTGTCAATTGCATGGAGTTAATTCAAGTATCTCAAATCTATAAGGGTAAACTATAATATGAAACAGTGAGTATGAATAGGTAAATAGAAAGGAGAACTCTAGTAAGTACTTCAAAACCCATTCTGAAGCAAGTACAAACTTTCCAGTAGGTTTGGTTTAGACAAAAGCAAATATATAAGCAGTCAGATTTTCTATGCCAAGGTTTCACAAATGGCTTCCTGGTAATGCCACAATTAAACATCAGTCAATTGAAAAAATAACTTAGTGAAACCAATTAAAAGGAATTATTTTGACAAATGGACTTTTAGACCTTGCTGCAGAAACCTTGGCTGATGACACATTCCAGTTGTCCGATGTGCTGCTATAATGATTAGTCTCTGTTTCAGCCTTATTTAACAGTTTCATTAATAGTATTAAAGAAAGCAAGTGAACAGCATGTTAATGAAGTCAGCAGATGATGTAAACAGCAGGAAACAGAAAATAAACGATACTTAAGAGGTTAGAAACATGAGCAGAAGGAGTTATGAATGTATCATATTCTGATTGAGAGAAATGAGAAGCTAATGCATCTGTGATAAACTACTTCAGAACTGATTTTATATGCCTAATACATATTAACTAAATGCAAAAAAATATACACATTCAATTACACTAAAACATTTTATTTTCTGGTTGTAGAAGGTCCAGTTTGTAGTCATTATAATGTCTAAAAGGGAAATACTGTCTTTGAAAGAATGTGCAGATAGATTGTGTAAAAGACTAGACATGCAATTGCTGAATTTCACACAAATAAATGGGTTGGAAGAGCAATTTGCTGTTGTTCAGGCAGGGGTAATGTAGGAGGAAAGACAAATGCTATGAATGAACAAAAAAGGAATGGAGAGCAAGACTACTGTTATCCACATACCTGAAATGTGTAAGCATTTACAAAAGTTATGATTTATTTAGCATTACCACATATTTGATATCTTATCAGGAAAATATTCTTTATTAGATGAAAGCAATCTCTAGCCATACCAAATGAAGATTGAAAAATACATACATACAGGCTGTAAAGCAAATTTAGTGCCAATTAATGGAAACCTAAAACAGGCTGTAGGCTTCCACTCACTTGCATACAGAAATGCCAAGTCCAACACCCCTGGCTGTGAATGCATGTTACAGAGTTCCTGAAGATTATATCTAACCTATACTTTTTCCCCCCTTCCCCAACAATATCCAAATTATAGGAGAGGAGACTTCCCAAGTGCTCCATTCAGCAAGCCCAGTCCCACACAAGCTCTAAAATATTTCCCCTTCCCCAGTGTGGTGACATGCACACTGCAGGCAGACTGACAACTACCTCCTCCAGTTGGAACACATAATCATCAATACCCTTCTGAGCTCATTTAAAATGTGACTAACTTAAGCCTCAGCTCATACATTGTCAAATCCCACTTGGTGAGTCTTGTTCCTGTTCCAGCTGGAGATGGGCCCACGCTGGAATTTGGGAATCTAGTTTTCACATTCCAAAATTGAACAAAGAGACTCGGACTCATTTCTAGTTTCCTAAACTGCAGTCATGTCTGTAAGTAAAATGCTGAAACATTAGTTGTCTGGGAAAAATAAATGAGTGATGATTTTAAGAGATAAGCTGTGGCTACTCAGTGCAGTAGCTTCCAGCTTTTTGGTGCTGTTCCCAGAAATGCTTCAACCATGGTGAGGAGCTCAATTCTCTAATTAAAAAAAAAAATTGTATCAAATATTTTTCAGCTTTACACTCTCAAATTAAAGCTTAAAAACCTCCAAGGAAGGAAAGGAGGCCAGATTGGAGGGGGAGGAGGTGAGAGGAAGGAAACGGGTGGAGAAAACCACTATATTCCCAAGATGCAAGGAAAGTTGAAAAGTAGAAGAAAAAATATATTAAATCAGTGTAAACTAAGAGGTAAGTTTAAGGCATTTTTTTACATTGAATGTATGTTTTGTTGGGGTATTTTTAGCAGTAAAATTCTGTGTACTTTGCAAACATTTGAAATACATTTAAGTGAGGTAATTGCTTTTTTTTCAATTTCTTCTGCTATGAACTTGATCTATATTTTTATTAAGCCTATCAAAGGATGTGTTGTGCTGGTATTTTGCTACTTTTCTGCTGTTGCTGGGTAAAACTGTCTATTACCTCACCAATGACCTACATGAAGTGAAACAACATCCCATGGCAGCAGACAGGTTGTTTTGTTGTAGAGCTCAGCTGCAAAAGTTAATTGTTTATGGAGGCTTAATGGGCATTGTGCTCCTACTTACCTAACTTGCTGCAATTCAGTAGTGTGTTAGTGTAGCTTAGGAAAAGAGCCCCTGAAGTAATAGATTTTGGTATAGTTAGGAAGATAGTTGACCTGTGTTCTCAACTTGAGGTCAGAGCAATGTCTTACGTTTTTATTAGTGTTGTTGCTGTTATTGCTATTTGGTGTGCTGCCTATGCAGGGGTTGTATACATTAAGTTTTCATCAGAGACCACAAGCCAGCTGCTGAATAGTAAAGCTTGGTGCACTTAAAAGCTCATTTATTACTGGGATGTTTGTTGCTATACTGCCAAGAGCCTGCCAGAGATGCAACAGAATAAAAATATTGGTGATGAATATGACTGTGCTTGTATTGCTGCACCAAAGACTTTGCACAGTTAAGTTTAGAAAGGAAGGAAGAAGAAATCTGGAAAAAGTAGAGGCAGGTGTAAGGAGGTTCTGCATAGCTGTACCAGCTGGGTAGAGCAGGGAGGCTACAGATGTTCCTGTAGCCCTCAGCACCCACTGCATACATAGACCAGATTACTTGCAGCATTTTTATTTGTGAAGGTTGGGAACAGTGTAGGGTAAGTGCAAGACAGCTGTCAAAATGGGAGAGAGAAAAGCTCTCAGTAGTTAGTTGATAGTGAAAAACAATACAAGAGATGGGGTTTCTAGGGAATGCTGCCACCTTCCTGTCTGATCCACATCCAGCTTCTGTTGTGTCTGGTCCTCTCAGGCTGGAGGTCATACCATGTTTAAAAGCTTCTGATGTCTCAATTGTTCATGGTTTTATCCAGTCTTGTTTTTCAACATGTTTACACTATTGATTTAAAAAATGTTATGGAAATAGGTTCTATAAATTAATTACATTGTCTTTGGTTTAAGCCTTGTGTTTGAGTATTTTATGGATTGCCTCTAGTGTTTTGACTGTGAAAAGTGAATGCTTGTCATTGCCCCCTTAAGCTGTCTGCTTATCAACTGAAAAGATGCGGTCTGCTTAGATTCCTCATGTCCTTGTTCCTCTCTGTACATTTTCTAGCTGTGTTATGTATCTTCAGTGATTCAGGTGAAAATGTTAGTGATTTGATGCCTTCTGAAGACATGTGTGTCTAATGACTATGCCTCTTGCTTGTGCTCACCACTTAGCCTCCTTAACTTTTCTAAATATTTTTTTCAGAGTTGAACTGAATACTTAACTATTTCTACAGATAACAGTTACATAAATATATGCATGGCAGCTGTGCACTTCAAGATGAATATATTATGGATGAAGAGCTTGAATGCCACAGTATTTGTACTATTTTTATTCAGACACATCCTGAGAATTTAGCATCAAATGGCCTAATTCTGCTCTGAATCTAAAGCCAGTGAATTAAACCAGAAACTCCTACCAGACTTCACAGGATCCCACTCTGCTCTGCCTATTAGAGAAATGAGTGTGACATCACTTTCAGAATTGTTCTGAATTGTGCATGAAGCTAGATATTAAGAAGGGCAGTCTTTTGTAGGAAAGGAAACTTGGGAAAAAAGAAAATCCAATTGTTTAGTGGATGCTATGGTGGCATTGAGACAAACAAGAAGATGAAGATGGCTGAGCAACAAGAGCTGTGAGGGTTGGGCAGGGAGAGCTGGCTGGCAGCTGAAGAGTGAGGGGAATGAAAACACAGCCCAGCAGGCAGGTAGCCAGCAGCTGCAGTTGCAGACTCCCAAAAGTAGCAGGGGCGCTCCTACATTAGTCAGGTACTCTGATATCAGAATTCCTTCAAACATCCAAAAGGCCTTGGACACCTATGAAGGTAAATGGGAATAAGGGATCCCAAGCCACCTGCGCCGTTTTCAGCCTTGAGGTGTCTGAACAGAAATAAAAGGCAAGACAGAAATTGTGCTTTAGAACAGACTGGACAGCTGATGACTCTTGCAGGCTTTATTTTGTTCTGTAGAGATTAATGGAAAGCATTTTCCTCAAACATTTGGAAACCATGACCTATATTTTAACCAAATTCTTAAATAAATAATTAATATGGCTATTTAATTATTACTCCATCACCAGACAAAATTATCCAACCAATGAAATAATCATAATTATATTCTTCCCAGTACCTGCCGTGTATTCTTGTTCTTTCTCATCTGTGAGTGCTTTGAACAGTAAGGGAACCCTTTTAAGCTGATGCAGTTTAGTTTAGTATGAGAATAGAAGGAAAATAAATGTTTAAAATAGATTCTACATGAAGAAAATAGAGTTTGGGCATTTTCTCAAAGTCAGATGCTTTTGCTTATTGCTAATGTCACAGAAGAGAAGTAGGGGAACACTCCAAATTGCTAAAAACACCATATGTAAAAATTAGCCATTTACTTAGAAACTAGCAGCTTACGATAGGAATTGATGTGTTGGCATTAGTACATCATCTACCAGGTGTGTTCCATCAGATTCACTTCACAACAGATGTTAGACAAGAGTGTCATGAAGAAATTCTGGCAGGCATTAATAAAGCTGTGCATGGCAGCACTTCAGGAAGAAAAGCTGCCTTTGATACTGCTTATTTGAGGGTTTATTCAAATGTTCAAACAGGTTGAATCTAGGCAAATAATAGCAAGATGGGGTAATAAACAACAAAAGCAGTCTTCTATCATGTGCTACCCTGAGCTTTGCTATATTCTCAGATTGTCCTTTTGAGACAGGGAATACCTCTCTGACTTAAACAGGAGAAGTCTTGGTAACAACTCAACAACTCATTCAATGCATTGTTCACCCAGATGCAGCTGGATCAAATGGAATGGGGACGAAATGGTGTCAGCATTTTAAGGACTCTTTGACTTGAGTTTTACCAACAGTTCTTCTAGTAACTGGCAATACTAAAGGCTTTGTCATAGCACAATACCTGTTTTGGCCAAATGCTGTCCTTTTTCCTTCTCTCAAGTTGTGCCCCAGCAGAGTGTCCCTTGCATTAAGCATCTCTAGATGGCTTTTGCTCTTTCTGCAAAGTGTGTATTTCTCCATTGTCCCTAGGTTTAAAAAATAGGTGAATATGCATGAGAGTGTGGAAAAGAACTGAAGGCAAGCCCTCTTCCTCTTAGAAAGTGATCTAAGCTGGCAGAGGACAGCCCCAGTAGTTGCTCTCCATGTCTACCATGCAGAAGGCACAGTAGATGACACTTCAGCTAAAGCAGAAATGTTTAAATGCCAAATAGATTGGATAAAGAAAGGCATTGTTTTTTTACTATGTTCCTACCTCTGATGTGCTCCATGCAAAACACCACACAAAGAAAAAGCCAACTAGAAAGATCTTCTATTTTCCACAATTTTTTCTACCCCTCTAGGGAACGCCTCCCTCTCCTGAGGTGGCCCTTCTTTCCCCAGCAGTCCCTTTTTCATCAAGGACACTCTGCCTGTAGTCACAGCAACTGTTAGAAATGCACAAAGTTCCAATGTGAACTTCATCCTCTTACTTTTCATCACTGCTATGAACACAGACAAAAAGAGAAAAAGAGAATCAGAATCATTAAGGTTGGAAATGACCTTTAAGATCATTGAGGCCAACTGTAGACCTAACACAGCCAGGTCTACCTCTAAACCATGTCCCTAAGTGCCACATGTACTTGTAAATAAAATCAGGTCCCTATAATACATTCACTTTCATGTCCAGGTACATTATTTAAATATTGCTGTGTAACAAATTATATTAGAAGTGTCCAATCCTCACTAGATTTTTCTTCTCATTCTTGCACATTCAGATGCCTTCTTGCCATAGTTCAAAAGGAATCTCACAGATGGTTTCCTGTCTGGCAGTTCTTGGGCCTTTCAGGTTCCACTGTTGGGGCTTCTATGCTTCCTGGTTATAGGACTTTATCCTTGAAATAATTTAAAGTAGAAGGGAAAGCAAGAAATACTTAAATACCTCTTCAAATGTTATTAATAGTCTTTATTTTTACAGAACAGTTGTTTCTGAAGTCAAGGACAAAGCTGTTTTAGCAGAAAATTTGAGACAAGTTTTGCCAAATTTCTCAGCAAATGAAATGAGAAGTGTTTTAAAGAAGAACTTTGATGTATGCAAGTGTTTATGCATTTAGATAGCCATTAACTTCCATATTTGAGGGAAAGTATGGTTATGTTTTGTGTTTTGGACAGTCTAATTTACCAATCAGTTTTAAATGATTAATGACAAATATATACCCTGACTTTTATGGCCATTCAAGTTTTAAGGAAAGGGAATTTTCCTCATGTCTGGTGCTCTCAGGAGCTCTTGTGAGCTATAAATGGTCAGGAAAGCGATTGGCACTGTAAAGTGGACTAAAGGGCAAGGGAGGGATGGATCTGAAAGAAGCTCTGCTTCTTATTTCTCTTACAACACAGCTGATCAAGTACGGTGAAGGAATCTGCTCTTGGTTTGAATCAGTGAGGCAGTATTGGTTGCCTGGAATTAGGAAGGACTTGACTTTTGGGGTAGTTTCCTTCCCCTTCAGTGTGTCTGATCATTCTCAGGTAGGCTAGACAAGACCACAAACTGCATCTGCAGAGGTAAACTGTGTAGTGCAGCATCAGAAAAATACTCTGATGGAAAAACATCTTATTCGCTATCAGTTTAGCATTCTATAAATTGAATAATAAATCAGTACTGAAGCACCTTTCTGATGATGAAGTGGCCTCTGAACTCTGCGTGCCAAA